TTCAAGCGACATTTTCGCAGGTAATTTGAAGGGAGCTCCCACCGGCTGGTGGGAGTGTTAATCCCGTGTGTTTGAGGACGTCAAAACTATCTATGGCGTTAAAATGCATAAATAAAACCGCATTCCTTGCTGCCGGTTTTGTCCTCCTTGGAGACTATCCGGTAAACATAGACTCCCAATCTGCGTCCCAATTGAACACAAGGTGAAGAGGGGTGTCCAGTATTGAATTGAATTTTGGAAGCTATTACGCGTGTCCCTGATGGACTGAAACAGACAGGCAACTGAGTTTAGAATGTCAGTCCAAATTGTTGGGCTCCATCTAGGCAAACTGGGGTCCCACTAATGATAGGAAAGTATTCCACCAGAATTATCCCGTCAGAGGTATGATTACTTCAGCGGTTTGATGAGCTGCAAAAATACGAAGGTGAATTAGGGTGATTTTTGGTTTGAACACATAGTGAGCAACGCACTGTAGCATTTTGTCGTAAAGAGTTCTATTCCATTCGCAACGGTTTTTCAGCTAAAGGCATTGTGCGACTAAAGAGTCCCGTGAAGGAGTGCACTTGTGAAGTAGCTGCTGCGGTGTGTCAGAGAGTTTGCGCGTGTGCGTGTCCATTCGTCGGTCCACTATCGATCTGGCATGTGACTTGAGTGGCTGATTGGATGTGTGTCCGACTTATTTGCTCACGTGAGCGCGGACGTGACTCAGTTGTTTGCTTACCCGTCACGAAAGCGTGTACACAGTACGCCCGTGTCAGCACTTACGTGTTCTTCTGACTTGATGTGAACTGCAATAGCTTGCTTACATATTCACGTGGTGTTAGCGTGAGACTCAATGGAATTGAGGAGTAATATGTCATTGCTAAAACGTCTAAACGTCACGGAGAGACTGAATCTGACCATGGTGTGACGGTTTGCGCACCTTAGCGATCGATTGAGTTATACTGGACGGTGTCCCCGCGACACTCACAGAGTCTGTCATATCAGCCTGGTCAATGGTTGTCGTTAATTTCGCTACATTTCATTGCAACATGAGTCTCTAATACCGAATCCCTATCCGATTCTCAAGGAGAGTTTTTCACAGACTCATCTGGACGTCAACTGATTCGCCGCATTCGAACCAAAAACTTACATGATCCCATCGCCTCTAACTACTACCCTGTGATCAATCGGATCCTGATCAAAGGTGCTGGTGAAACTTCACCCGAATCACCCCCACTGGCACTCGCTGTCTACACTGATCGCCCGCAAGGCGGAAGCAGTTTGGAACAAGGACAGTTGGAGCTCATGGTGCATCGACGGTTGGTTCGGGACGATAGTCTCGGACTAAATGAAGCCCTCATGGAACAGGGTGTTGATAACCATGGTAAGTCATGAAGGTTTTCGTAAGCCTAAGGAACGTGCTACTATTCACGAAGCACAAACCAAACGAACGCAGGAATACAACGCAAAGGATTGATCTTTTCAAAGTTTCATAATATTCGATGTGGTAGCTGTTGACATGTTTGGTTTGACTTATTCAGCTTCTCTTTCCTGATTGGTCAATTCCCACGTTGACAGAGGAAACTGGATGACTTAATGTAGCATGGTTAATTCTTCTAAAGGCCGATTGCCAAGTTACAAGAGCACACAGTCGTTGATGAACGGCGATAAGTAACAACCAGACAACGTTCAAATGTTGCTTAGAAAGCATATATTACGGGACAGATTAAACAGAAAACTCAAAGTGCCACGACTATATCTGACCGCGAATAAATTTTGAGTGTGCTGAACCAGTAAACCAAAGAGAAGTTGGGAGTTGAAGACAACATACCACCCACTCTGGAAACACTGCAACAGACAACGCTAGGAGATCGATGAGTCCACACAGTTAGCTAGACTCGATATTGCCATTTGCGTATGGAAGGCCAAAGTGGCCAGCTCACTACCTGTATCGCGGTTATGACCGCAACTTGTCTGTCAAAAGATGAGGTCACAAGGACTGATTCGCCGCATTCGAACCACAAACTTACATGATCCCATCGCCTCTAACTACTACCCTGTGATCAATCGGATCCTGATCAAAGGTGCTGGTGAAACTTCACCCGAATCACCCCCACTGGCACTCGCTGTCTACACTGATCGCCCGCAAGGCGGAAGCAGTTTGGAACAAGGACAGTTGGAGCTCATGGTGCATCGACGGTTGGTTCGGGACGATGGTCTCGGAGTAAATGAAGCCCTCATGGAACAGGGTGTTGATAACCATGGTAAGTCATGAAGGTTTTCGTAAGCCTAAGGAACGTGCTACTATTCACGAAGCACAAACCAAACCAACGCAGGAATACAACGCAAAGGATTGATCTTTTCAAAGTTTCATGATATTCGATGTGGTAGCTGTTGACATGTTTGGTTTGACTTATTCAGCTTCTCTTTCCTGATTGGTCAATTCCCACGTTGACAGAGGAAACTGGATGACTTAATGTAGCATGGTTAATTCTTCTAAAGGCCGATTGCCAAGTTGCAAGAGCACACAGTCGTTGATGAACGGCGATAAGTAACAACCAGACAACGTTCAAATGTTGCTTAGAAAGCATATATTACGGGACAGATTAAACAGAAAACTCAAAGTGCCACGACTATATCTGACCGCGAATAAATTTTGAGTGTGCTGAACCAGTAAATCAAACAGCAGTTGGGAGTTAAAGACAACATACCATCCACTCTGGAAACACTGCAACAGACAACGCCAGGAGATCGATGAGTCCACACAGTTAGCTAGACTCGATATTGCCATTTGCGTATGGAAGGCCAAAGTGGCCAGCTCACTACCTGTGTCGCGGTTATGACCTCAACTTGTCTGTCAAAAGATGAGGTCACAAGGATACAATTCATAACATATTGTTATTTCAGTTGGTAACCTGGTCAGTTCGAGTGGGTGACACTAAAAATTTATAGTGTTCAAACTCCTGTTTCTTTGAAATAGGAACATCAAACCGGTTATCCTGAAGAAAGCTGAACCGTTCCGGGGGAGAACAACTGGCACACGACAGATGGACAGAGGGCACTCCAAAGTTGTGTCAGTTTATCAGTTATCCGATCGCAATTTGACAATTGGATCTAGCTAATTTGAGTAGCGCGCATCTGCAGACTAGTATGTGATGATCAGAACCACAAAGGCATTATTTTCTTTAAATTGTAGGTGTGTTTATGCATGCGAGTGTTAGTAAAGCGCATCCAATGCGTGTTTATGGTAATGAGTAAGTGGTGTGGTTTCTGCAAAGGGGTACACACTATTGAGTATATGCTAGAAGCTGCCATCTTTTAGGTCACCTTAGTTTCCCATCGAGAGACAAGACGTATGTTGTCAAAATGGCTCCGATACACTAGGAAATGAAACGTGGGACACCTTTAAACAAGACCCATACGTCTTTATCCAAAATCCGGAGATCTAAAAGTTAACTATGTAATTGTGGTTCACAGTTTTGTAACCGTGGTAGTCACAATCCAGGATATGCCGTGTCAAATAGTGTATAAGGTTCGTTTCAATGGACCTCTCGATTACGTCGTTCTTCAGCCTAATGGGATGTTGGAATATTTGAACGATAATACTACTAATTATCAGTAAGGTTAGAGTCCTGAGAGCAACTGCTGAATGCCCGAAATCTACTGAGACCCTCAGCTCCGCTGGATGTCGACCAGACGACGGCCCCTCAATGTGCAGCGTGTCACAGCGTGAGTCAGCGTTGGTCAAGGTCAGACAACGCCCCCGCACTACGCGGCGCGTCGCAGCCTCGTACCAAGGCCACTCCAAGTTTAGAGTGTCCCCCCAGTAGATAGCTTGAGACCGTTGTACTTTCGCACTCGCGCGCACTCACGCTCTCGCACTCCCTCTTCGGAGTATAGCTGTTTTGTTCCCTCCTGTGAGTCTTTTTTCAGACACTAGGCACTGGAGCGGGTCAGTAGTCAGATACAACAGATTGTCGAATGAGCATAACAAACACTAACTATGAAGTAGGATAAACTTTTCGGCAGATAACCACCGGACTTATACTTTTGAGGCTCACCAACTCACCACACGGGACTTCCAGCGGGTCAGTAGTCAGATACAACAGATTGTCGAATGAGCAGATATAACACTAACTATGAAGTAGGATAAACTTTTCGGCAGATAACCACCGGACTTATACTTTTGAGGCTCACCAACTCACCACAGTCCCGGGACTTCCATCGATCTTATTTCGCGGGCATTTGTGGAGACAGAGGGCATTTACAAGCAAAGTTGAGGGTCTTGTATTTTGTACCTCTTAACCAAACGAAGTCGATCCAAAGGGTTCGGAGAGCATGTTTCAACAAAATATATTTGAGTGTCTCGGCTAGCGGCTCAACTGTACCACAAAGTGAAAGTTCATCCCTTCGTATATCTGCTCAGTTTATCATGGGAGCACGGGCGCTTCAACTCCATTGCCTGTTCTTCATATTCAGCCTTAAAGCAGCCACGCCACTCAAGATCCAATGAGCGGCCTCTTTCGAAGCCTATTTTACCATGTGAACTAGTGATAAGATCACTGTTTCATTTGGTTTGAACCGTAGTATTCGGTACGCCTCTGTCTATGTCCAGGACGAATTTAACTCGCCTCGAATTCTGCAGACCAGAGTGCCCCCTCAGGACATTGGGGCCTGCCACTAGCTGGCTTTGTCCAGTATCAAGCAATATTTCCCATCCGGTATTACTTGCCTTCACCCGTAGTTTCCGTTCATCTCCAAAGTTTCGTTCGTTCTGAACGCAGTTCAGTGCATTTCCTGTGCTGTTCATCTGTTGAACTGCCCACGCACCCGCACGCTGCCTACGCATTTGGGCGTATTATTTATCCGGACACGGCGAACGTGACTGATATCTGACTCATACATTGATCGATCGCCAGGCAGCAGTATCAGGTGACCAATCCGGTGCCGACGCACTCCACGGCATTTCTATGTGCTCAGATGGTTCAACT